GGGAAAAAAAAAAAAAAAAAAACAGCACAGAAGTACTGATTGCCCGTGGACCGGTAGCTTCCCATATCACGACCACTTACCAGCTGCATTTCCATGAGACAAAGAGGTTCATCGCATGGAAAAAAAAAAGAGGTTCGGCAGAGTCCTCGGAAAGGTACTGGTGGTTTAACGGGAAAACAAAGATTGCAGTTTTGCCGCTCATGGCCCCGCTCCGCCAGGATGAATGGGCGACAAAATGTGTCCCGACGTGGGCTGTTAGGTCAACGAGATCTGAAGCCCAGATTGGGCTACATTGTCTTTTGTCATGTGGTGACCGACTGGGCCATTCCAGAGTCCGGTGTACCCCCCCTGGACCCCGATGGCCCACACCAGCTACTAGATGGCGAATCCGAGCCCTATACAATATTGCGCAGTGCTGGAAAAGAGCACTGGCCAGATTCTCCAACCGGACAACTCGGACAGCCAGGAGGGGCCCAGACGTCTGTGACCATACTGTAGCAAAAGAATGGTTTCAGTGTGCTTCTTGCTGTCTCCTATTTTCTTTGTTTGTTTTGCACAGCGTGTTCATTTAGTTGATAACCTGACAGATATGTGACAATGCATGGTTTGTTAAAGCTTATCTGCTTTGTTTGTGTGGATCTCTGCAAGGGGAGTGAGTGTACGTGATTGGATGGATGTGTTGTGAACGTTTGCTATGTGATTGGATGGATCTCTCACCTTTTGATCTGTGTGTGTGTGCGTGTGTGGCACTGTCATGACTCACATTCCTTTTGCAGGAAATTGCAGCCTCCGCAGGGGTGAAGGTGACCAGCCCGGTCAGCAATACGCTGTTCAATCCTGCAGACATCATTAAGCGGGTCAGACTGAATTCCTTCGCTTGCATGGTTTCGAGAACTTTCGACTGTCATCCCCCCACATATTATTTTATGGCAAATGTGATGCTGATAATGAATTAATGATCTTGATGATAGGCTAAGATATCCATATTTTGTCAATCATAATCCCATGCTGCGGTCATGCCGGATCCCAACTTGGATCCTGCTTCTGAAACCCCTACCTGTTCTAGGGTGGCCTCCGAACTGGCCTGGGAGAAACAATCTCTACGGACCTCACGGGTTGACTGCCTGAACGAGGCCAAGAATGATTCCCTGCTTGTCAAAGTTAACTGCTCCTCCCAGTTCGTTGGACTGGTCCCAAGGAGAGGATACCCTTCAGTGATGCCGTTAGAGTTGTTTTCAGAGCACCAGGTTTCAAAGTGGGGGTTCCCTACAGACAGTCAGAAACCGGGACACCTGCTTCACCAGTGAGCTTTGAAAGGATCTGGTGGAATTTGCCGGCACTGGAGTCAAGATCAGTGCATGCTGGACCCGGTTTCCAGCAGGTGCAGCTGCCCACCAATAGATGGAGCGACTAAGCAGACCTAGTACGAGGGGATGCTTGCATCACCCACCCTATTAGATTCTGCAGAGTCTTAAAAAAAAGAAAAAAAAAAAAGGAAAAAAAAGGGAAAAAAGGAAAAAAAAAAAGAAAAACGATCGGTGCAGCACCAGTTCACCAGCTTTGATCAGACTGACTGCGGTCAGAAGTTGGCCAAGGTGAAGAGTATGTAATTTATGTTTACCCCGGCCCCGGACCTCGGTCAAATCTGGACAGTGTGATTCCACACTGTCTGGATAGGATCCGGACGTCTGGATTGATCTGGACAAGGAGTAGGCCCCCCCCACAGGGCCTGCACACACCCAACAAAGGGTTATTTACTATTTAGTGTTTCTATTTCCCCCCCCTTAGATCTGGCTATGAATTCGAAGATTACCCTCAGTCAAAAGTTTTGTATTGAATGTTGCATGACATATCTTTGTTACAGATTTTTGTGACTTTTTGCTCTAGGCCACCACTACCTTTCAGGCTGGAAGGTGAAGTCATAAGTACAACCTACCATAGTGAGAATGCCTAGCGAACTGCATCTCAGGTGGAAGCCGCGGATGCCAGCTGATTTCCTAGTCAGTAACTTGCACCAGCAGTACCCTCAGACGTGGTTAATGGGGACCCCCAGTTTCAGCTCCTGACTAACAGGTCCAGAACTGAAATTAGGGTTTACAGGTAAAATGTTTTTTTTTTTTTTTTTTTTTTGCCCTCACAAGTCAAAATGACTACATCACGAACCCACTCATGTTTCCTTCGGTATGGACGAAGGAACCCTGACCAGCATTGATTGCTCCTATTTGGAGAATTGACTGCCAGGTTGCCTTTCCCTGCAATCCCTCTTAGATTCCTCTGTGGGAATCTGCCAAGTAAACTTATAAAACAAGGAGAGTTGAGAAGGGCCCCTGAGTTGCTTCTTCAAAAAAAGTTGGTCTTGTGTGTCTCCTTATGTTGCCGGTGGGTTCTGAGGACACCAGGCAGCTTGTTGTAGTGGGCTTCTCCACCTGGTTTCCTTGTTATGCCAGTCTTTCCAGCATAAGTTGCCATCTCTTAGCTCTGCAACTTTTCCTCCCACCAGCCAAACTTTGACAAACTTGGAGAGGATAGTGCCCTGCCTATCTTCATCCTCGGGCAATGCCTGTTTCATTTTGTGCCATGTGCATAAGATCTCCGCCTGAATCAGTGTCCTGGTTAAACCTTTTCTCTTGGTGTTGATAATACTTCAATCGTTCTGCTGCATCTCTCCTTCCATATAGACCATAGCGTGACCTTTCTGATCATACAGTACCATGTCTTCTCTGAGCTGTTGAGGTCAGTCGGGATGTTAGTCGACAGTAGAAGTTGGATGGAGTGTTCAGGGAAGGGCTTGGTGAACAGGGAGTACCAAAGATCCGAAGCCCTGGCCCAGTATTTTGTTGCTGCTTTGCATCGGATTAGGCAGTGAAGTAAGTCTTCTGGTTCATTTTCTGAGCAAACTGTGCATAGGTTGGAACTGTTAGGATCGTTCTTCCATCTGCGAATATGAAGCCACTGGTTAACCGGTAGCGCTACATAGGCTTTCAGCCATTGGAGACTCCTGATTTTGACCGGTCTGATTGGTTTGAATTTCTTCCATGGAATCTGTGTGATCTGGTCTCCCTCTTGACCGATTACTTTTGCCCATCTGCTTTTGATTATTGGTTCTGGGTCTTTGGTCTTGAGAAATAATATGTACCCCATCTTCACTGATTAGTCCTGGATTTCTGTATTCATGTATGTCCAAGCTGACTCTGTTGGGTAGAATTCCAAATCCTGGATCGCTGTGTCCATCCTAAAGATTGTTTTGGGCCAGGAGCCCATCATTCTCATTTTCCTGAGAAGAAAGATGTCTAGATTTGTTCTTACTACGTCCTTTTCTAGGATGGATGCCGATCCATGCACCGATAGCGATATTGGATAGGAGGTAAAAATTGCAACAACGTTTGAGCCTTGTTGGTTATGTGAGAATTGGTAGAGGGGGGCATTTCTTGGAACCGGATCCCCTATTCGCCTGTTTTCCATGTTGGTGGACTCTTTTAACAGATCTTTCCATCCTTCCGGAATGTTGTTGATGATGGTCTGTAGGTTCCTATCCCATTGGTGACAGCCCTTGAGGAGGGCGGCAAGGTCAAGGTCTGTTACCCATTCCCTTTTCTCTTCATCCCATAAATGTTTGTTTTTTTCAGACTCTGTGTTTTATCCAGTATAGTCAACGTGTGCCTATGGGCTTGAGGGAGAACGAGTGATCGCTTTCATCTCTCAACCAGGGGTTGCCAAACAGGGGTTGCCTCACCACCTCTTCTCTCGTCTTGGGCTTGCCGACTTTTTTTGGCATGAATTCCCTCCAAATCCTTAGCAGAGATGTCCAGTAAGGTGTAGGGTGTCTGTCCTCTGTTTTTTTTTCCCCTTGTCGACGGTTTCTGCGTCCTGTGCTGGGTGTCCATCCTTATTCATCACCCAGAATAATCCCAACATGTTTGTTGGTGTCGGTATTTGTTACATGCCCAGTCGGGCGATGTACATATAAAGCCAAGGATCCGCAATGTGATAAAAGGACTGAATGGACAATGCAGTGCTAGTGGAATCTCAACAAGCAATGTGCATCCTGATACATACAAAATGGTGCTTTGTAGCGCAGTGGAAGACTTAGACAAAAGTCCTGACCTGACAGGGACTGACCTCCCTCACGTAGTACAAGACAGCGTAGCGAAATGCTAGAATACCAATGACTAGCCCGATCAATGTCGCAATGCGGACCAAACATACATCATACTCATCACAAGGTGTGAAGGGGCCTGGTGCTACACACAGGAAGACTGCGCCAGGTCCAGACCATACACAGACGAAGAGGAGGAGATCAGACGAAGAAGAGGAGGGATATGGGAATGTCGTTAACACCAAGTCTTCGGTATAAGTCCCAGATAATCCGTTGTCAAATGTCTGAAGCCCAATGTCGAGTCTGGATCCAAATGTCACCAAGCCCGCTCTCTCGTAGTCTGCTGATGCAGTGAAGTCAGGTAGCGAGAGGGTGAGAGGGAGATGGTGGACTGAGAAGAGGAAGAAGAAGAACTCTCTCTNCGCTCTCTCGTAGTCTGCTGATGCAGTGAAGTCAGGTAGCGAGAGGGTGAGAGGGAGATGGTGGACTGAGAAGAGGAAGAAGAAGAACTCTCTCTCTCTCACGTGCCAGGTACTAACTTGTGAAGATGGCGCTGTGCTGCAGGTACCTCGAAGATGAAGCTGGAGTTATGGCGCTGCAGGTAAGTCTCCCTGGCCTCGGCCCAATCTCTCTCTCTCTCCAGTACTACTCTAGCTCCTACTAGCGCCCAGCGCTGAAGACTACTGCTAACACTACTACTACTACTGCAGCGCTCCTCCAGAGTGCTGCTGCCGAATCCTGAAGACTACCTCCTGCCTCCTGAACTGCACGTGAAGTGCCTGGGAAGTCCCTATGAACTACCTGCAGCCTGCAGGGCGGGCCAGTCTTATATAGTGCTGGCCCGTGGCCTGTGCTAAAACCCCTGGTCTGGTGCCTGAGTTCAGGGCAGGTCGATCTTATGAGGGCCTGAAAATGGCCCTCCGTTTCAGGCTGAAAAGACTCAGGGCGTGGAGGGCCCTGCCTGTAGGCCCTTGTTTTCAGGCTTTCAGGCTGAAACGACACAGGGCCTGTAGGCCCTTGTTTTCAGGCTTTCAGGCTGAAAATGACACGGGCCTGGAAATGGCCCGTGCAGCCTGTTGCAGGCACAGCATGTAACAGTATTGGAGCTAGACCTCTAATGTTGTCCAAAGCTAGTTTGTTCCACGCTGTGACTGGTTTAGTCAGCAGTTTAATGATTCGTTTGACCTGGAGGGCTATGGTTTCTTGTTTGGGGTCAATGATACCCAACCCTCCTTTGCTTGGTTTCCTCGTGATGTAATGCCATGCTATCTTAGGGATGCAGTTAACTTTATTGGGGTCACTGGACCATAGGTAGGCCCTCACTATCGGGTTGAGTTCCTTGATGGAGTTGTCTGGTACTGTCCAAATTGAAGCTATATACCACATCACTGAAAAGATAGAGGTATTGATAGTTGAGGCGCGACCCAACAGAAATGTGAAAGTGTTCCCCCGCCTACCCATTTTTTTGATTTGTTTAGTGAGCACATTCTGGGCCATTTGGGGGGCAAAGCCTTCTTTTGTGTCCCCCAAGTCAACGCTGCCTCTGGGCCTTGGAGCTGTGGGGGCTCTTCTTCTGGCAGCCACAACCCAATCGTTCTTTTCCAGTTGATCTTCATTTCCAAGGTCAGTCTGAAAGCTTCCTTAGCTCTTACCAGAGCACTGAAGGATGAATCTGAGGCTCGTATGAGAACAGTGAGGTTGTCTGTGAACATTATTACTGCTGGAAACTTTAAATGGTGGGCTGATTCTACGTTGATTTCTGACAGTCTGTGAATGGAGGGGTCTTTCCGTAGCAAAGAGGAAGATTGGGGGGGCTAATGGATCGCCTTGATGGACTGATCGTGAAATTGGGTAGCATTCTGGCAGCAGACCATTGACTTGTACACAGCCAATAACATTGTTGTATAGAATACGTACCCATTTTTTGAAATTCGGACCTACTCCCATCTTTTTCGTACTTGAGTTCAGGAAGGCTCAGTTGACCTGATCATAAGCCTTTTCAAAGTCAAAGAATAGTATTGCTGTATTAATCCTCTTTTCTCTCACTTTGTTGGCTGCTTTGTTTAAAGTGAGTACATTGTCAAGAACGCATTTTCCCAGTGTGATGCTTGTCTGATCTATATGGAAGCACGTGTCTGTAAGATTGAGGATCTTAAAGGTCAGGGCTTTGGCCAAAATTTTGTAAGGCAAGGTGAGTAGTGAATGGACCTGTAGTTCCGTACGTCTTCTGTGTCACCTTTCTTGTACAGAAGTGTAATTACACTTTTGCTCAACATATTCCCTAGGGCCATAATTTCTCGAAGAATTTCCCTAGGGCCAAAATTCCCTTTTGCTCAACATATTCCCTAGGGTCAGAAGATCGCCTCCAAGAAGGGGCCATAATTTCTCGAAGAATTATTTTGTTAGTCCATCAAACTGCAGTTCCTCTGAGGTGATGGGGTTGTCCAAAGCGTTTGCCTATTGTTGTGAGAGTTTTGTCTAGGTATTGGAGCATTCTGGTCCGCGCTTCTCTAGTACTTGGGGGAGTGGGGTTTGGGGTCTTTGTATGGTAGAGCTCTTCGTAGAACGCCTTGGCTATGTTTAGAATTCCTTTTTTGTTTGTTAGTGTTTCCGCTGTATCAAAGAGGGTCTTGAGGCCCTCTATTGAGCTGGATCTTGTGTTTACCTTAATCCTCGCAAAAAAGTGCTTTGACATTGACTTGCTAAGCTCATACTTGTTCATTCTTGATCTTATTTGTAAACCCTTTAACTCTTACCATCTCCACAAGGCCAGTTCCTCCCTTGCTTTGTGGAAAATCTCTATATAGAGGGGTGAAGATGGATTGTCGACTAAGTTGGACTTTGCGATCCTTAGAGCGGTTTCTACAACGATTTTACGTTGTTTCCCATCATTTGACAGTTTCCTTGATATGTTAGTTGTTGTCTGGGACAGTGTGGACTAGCTGTCTTGGAACCAAACCCACCTGTCATGGATGGTGAGGTAGCTGCCTCTCATATTCTGCCACCAGCTCAGGATACCCTTTTGGATTGTCTTAGTACAAGCGAGATGTTAAGTTTATGGAAGTTGGATCCTTTCTTAACGAATTGTTCAAAACTGATGACGAGTTCAATAGGTTTGTGGTCTAGTTCTGTATAAGGCTGTAGGGGGAGGATGTCTGCCCGTTTAGCTGTACCCAGTAGTGTTTCTAATATCAAAAAGTAATCTATAAAGGAGAAAGCAGTGTGGTGGGCGTGATTCTTCTTCCACCAGGTTACCATCTACCATCAAAGGTTGGATGGGGACTGCCTCTCGTGAGGGTTGGCTGGCCGTCAATCTAGAGATATGTTTTGTTGTAGGGCTTAGGGTGCCACTCTAGTCGTCTGCTAAGATGGAGGGCGTTAGAGGAGGAACGAGATTTCCTATGCTTGCTACGAAACCTGATCTTTCAGATGAATTGTTTAGTGCATAGAGGTTGATTATCCTCACTTCTTCTCGTTTCTATCGTAAGTCCATCAGACGCTATCTCCCTTCAGTTGTGTTTGCTCCAATGTTCACTATGGAGCCTGTCGTGTAGAGGCGGGAAGATTTTGGAATAAGGATGGCTATACCCTTCGTGCAAGAGTTGTTTGAGGACCATATTTCATCCTTGACGCCTCTGAGTTTCCTTGTCAGCGCTCTACAAGTTTGTTGTGGTCAATTGATAGTGTGAGGTGGGTTTCTTGTAGCAGAATTATATCGGTTGGTTTGTTTGGTTGAATTGTCAGTCCTCTGATTATGTCGTTCGTTTTTTGCCCAGTCCATTTATGTCCCAGCTCCTTATGACTATTCCTTGTGTTTTCCAGTCCAGCTAGTCCTTTGTGTTAGCCCTACTTCTGAAGGTTTCAATCATTGGGGGAGTAGGATGTCTAAGGGGGGTCCGTGTTTGTTGCTTCCATGGCGGATGTGGTAGCGTTCAATGGGTTCTACTGTGTCTTGGATGGCGTGTCGTCTATCTTATATTCTCCCATGCTTGCACGGGCTCCCTGATCCGAGGACGTAGTCGGCTTTGGGTCGCTGCCTTCATCTTCTTCATGCTATTCTCACATGTCGTTCTCTGAGCAGTCGCTCCTGTAAAATTTCTCCATATCCATGGAGAAGGCTCTTGTTTTTAGATCACTGCCTCCACTGAGGGTTCCTGCGCTCAATAGTTGTGCTACCGAGGCTGCCAACAATTCCGTTGGAATGTCTGGGACAACTAGCACGCTATATGGTATTGCTGCATCTGTTCTCCATGGTCTCCATATCATACCACTCTTTAGTTTGGTGTTGACTGGCGTTTTGCCGATGACGGGGGAGAAGGCGCCAAGTGTATGCCGCCATTCGTCCATCTGTTGGTCCTGCTGCTCACCATGATCTGCTTGTGAGGAGCCAGTTTCCGGTTGGTTGGACGAGTCCATTGTCTCATACAGGTCCAATGAGAAGGTTTTTGTTACCTCTTGCAAGATTTTGGCTACATTTTGGCCTTCATCGATCCGGGGGATCGTGAAGGACACATTTGTAGCCACTTGCCATTCGGCCTCTTTTATTTTTTTTATTTTTTATCTGTTGATTAGGGCCGGGAGGAAAGTATTGTTGGGTTGGTTCCCTACCTGCGTTTTCCCTCCCACCCACCCCTTTGCATGCATTTCCGGGTTGGTACAGTGCCACGTCAGCAGTCCCACGTCAGCAACAGTGCCACGTCAGCAGCAGTGCCATGTCAGCAACAGTGCCACGTCAGCAGTGCCACGTCAGCAATAGTGCCACGTCAGCAGTGCCACGTCAGCAACAGTGCCACATCAGCAGTGCCACGTCAACAGTGCCACGTCAGCAGTGCCACGTCAGCAACATGACGGGCCCAACTCTGGGCATGCCAGGCCAACTGGCCAACGAGTCTATTGCCGACTACAAACAGCGGTTCCAGACTCAGCTCGCACTGATCGAGGCTGAGGAACAGCACCTGTTGGCAGCCGAGGCTGCCCGCCTACAGGCTGAAGCAGCGACAACAACTGAGAAGCAGCGGCTTCAGGCCGAAGCAGACGCAGATACCCAGGCACGCCGCAAGGAAGCCCAGGATCTGCTGCAGCGGCATAAAACCACCAGCATTGAAAGGCTCAAGTTTTGGCACTTCGAACCATCCGAGGAGCATGATGACGCGACACCGGAGGAGCAGCACAAGGAATTCATGGCCAAGCTCATGACCAGGTTGGTTTACACCTGTAACCACCTGCAGTCCGAGCTGGCGAATCTCCAGCGGGGTGTGCGGAACCACAAGGCTCAGCACGAGGATGCAGCACGGGCACTTGATTCCCGTGTACAGGACTTGGAGCAAGTTGCACCAAGACCGGAGGCTGGCGAGTCGAGCAGTGCACCCTCTGCCCGCCAACTGGAGGAACGCGTCGATCACGTAGTGGCAATGCTAGGTGATATTAGCACCTTCGCAGCGCCAGCCACCATCAGCCAGCAGCTGGACACACTGAAGACCAATATCAGGCAGCGACAACAGTCGTCCGACCTCGATCGCAGCACCAGCACGACGAATCATTACAAGATGCCGACTTTCCGGATCGAGAAGTTTGATGATTACACACATCAAGACCCGGTCGTCTGGTGGCAAGGATTCACAACGGAGTTGGGGATTCATGAGGTCCCCGAACATCTGTTCATCGGCGCGCTGTTCCTTAACGCCAAGGGAGGATGCCAGATCTGGCTCAGCCATATGGCAACCGTCCACGGCGTCCAGGTCTTCGACCTACACAAGAAGGTCTCCTGGGAGGATCTGACAAAGGAACGGAAGAAGCGGTTCATCGTTGCTGACGCCCCGACGCTCGACATCAACCGCATCTTCACGAAGGCTCAAGGAAACACAACGACACGCAATTGGCTCACAGATTGGCAGAAGATCGAGGCGACGCCCGATCTGGAGTTGCCATTTCCGCATCTGCGCCGAGAGTTCTACAATCGGTCATGCGCCGCTTTGAGCCTCACACTTGGTGATCACGAGCAGTACAACACCTTCGCCGAAATCATCAACAAGGCAAGGGAGATCATCAAGACAAACAGAGCAACTGCACATGAGAAATCAGCATGGCAGCCAACCTATGTGGAGAAGGTGAAAACTGGTCCGCGACCGCAGCAGTTCGCTACAGTTCAAACGGACAACATTGTGGAAGACCCGGCAGCCACCCAAGCGTCACGTGAGGGAGATCAGGTGGCTGCTGTCCAGCCGCGAAGCAACAACAAGTCCCGAGGAAACGAGAAGGCGAAAACCGCATCGCCGGCCGTAAACGGACAGCCAGCACCATGGGTCAAGTTTCACTTGACCGAGGTCGAGTACAAGTACCGCCGTTGTTACGGCTGCTGCTATTGGTGCAATAGCACCAAACACAAGACCTCCCCCTGCCAGGATAAGGGCAAGGAGGATGTTCGGCCTCGTATCAACTCGGGAAATTTAGTTGCGCAGGAGGTGAGGCGACTCCACCTCTCACTCCGCCAGATTCGGCCGCCTTGCTAGTGGCCTCCTACACATCTGGGGAGGATGCGAATGTCGCAAGTCCTCGGTACACTTACGAGGGCTATGCTGTCCACTTGGTCCCACCGTTGGACTAACCGCTCCACGTGCAACAATCTACCGCATGCACGGTTTCATCACCATGGGCAACCGATTCGGCAGCTTCGCCGCCATCTACCGCCGGGGATTCAACGTCATGGTCAAGACTTGAAGAGCTCGACCTGTTGACTTTTGCGGACTTCCAATGGATGCCCCTTCCCCGGTCCAGTCGATTGCCGAAACCGCATGGCAATGAGCTCATGGCACAATTGCGGGATTACTTGCACACTGCAGTACCAACTCCGTTGATGGACGCCGGAGTAGAGGTCGTCGACCTTCACGCCAACATTGCGAAGATCGACCGCGAGTTCAAGACACAACGGTATGACGACATCGACGCACCATTGTTATATGTACGCATTCAGATCGGAGAGGCGACCTGCAGCGCTTTGATCGATTGCGGAGCATCTCGCAACTACATGAGCCAAGACTTTATGGTACGCGCCGGCCTTGGCCCACGCGTCCGGAGGAAGTCCCAGCCTACGCAAGTCACATTGGCAGACGGTTACACACACAAGTCAATAGACCGGTGCATAGATGACGTCCCCGTGTACTTTGCCCCGCATGCAAGCAAGGCGGTGTCCCTCGATATTTTGGACACGAAATTCGACATGATCTTGGGCATGTCATGGCTGCGAAGCGAGGATCACCCGGTGAACTTCTACCGCCGCACCGTTCCCGTTCGTGATCGGAACGGAGTACTAGTCCCATGCACGGTAGCTCCTCCTCACCCTTCGATCAGCTGCCACGTGGTGTCCGCTGCAAGCATGCGAGCTTCCATCATTAGAGACGACATCGAGGAGATGGGGGTGTGTTTTCTCCACACCCTCCTGCCCCACGACGCTTCACCGACGGACTCATCTTCGGACCCACGCATCACCGAGCTTCTCGATGCCTACGGCGACGTGTTCGAAGGCCCGCACGGAGTAGTACCGGATCGGCCCATCCGCCACGAGATCATCCTCGAGGACGGGGCCGTACCTCCGCGCGGTTGCATCTACCGAATGAGAAGGGAAGAGTTAAGTATGCTACGGGCACAACTCGATGACCTTCTGGAGAAAGGCTGGATTTGGCCTAGCTCATCGCCATACGGTGCTCCTGTTCTCTTCGTCCGGAAGAAGAACAAGGATTTGCGGTTGTGCATCGATTATCGCAAGCTCAACGCGCAAATGATCAGAAACGCCGGCCCTCTTCCACGCATCGAGGACCTTCTCGGACGACTGAGCGGCGCCAAGTTCTTCTCCAAGCTTGACCTCAAGTCGGGATATCACCAACTCGAGATTCGGCAGGAGGACCGCTACAAGACCGTGTTTAAGACGCGTTATGGGCATTTCGAATGGTTGGTTATGCCATTTGGCCTTACGAATGCCCCGACCACTTTCCAAGCGGCTATGACAACGGAGTTCCGACACTTGCTGGATCGATTCGTACTTATCTACCTCGACGACATCCTGGTGTACAGCTGGAGTTTGGACGAGCATGTGGAACACCGACGCACCGTTTTGGAGCGGCTACGACAAGCCAAGTACAAAGCCAACTGCGACAAATGCGAATTCGCGCGGCAGGAGCTGGAGTACTTGGGACATTATGTGACGCCGCAAGGCATCCGTCCGCTTGCGGACAAGATCGAGGCCCTCCACGTATGGCCCGAACCCACCAACACCACAAACGTCCGTTCCTTCATGGGGTTGGCGGGCTACTATCAGCGATTCATCACCGGATACTCAAGGATTGCTGCACCTATGACGAGATTACAATCGCCAAAGGTGCCATTCGTATTCGATGACGACGCACGCCGGTTATTCCAAGCACTTAAGACGACCATGCTCATGGCACCCGTCCTTAGCATCTATGACCCCATCCTGCCTACGAGAGTGACAACTGACGCTTCCGACTACGGCATTGGGGCAGTCTTGGAACAACACGACGGCGACGACTGGCACCCTGTGGAGTATTTCAGCCACAAAGTGCCTCCCATCAATTCGCTTGATGATGCAAGGAAGAAGGAGCTGCTCGCGTTCGTGATGGCTCTCAAGTGATGGCGACACTTCCTCCTTGGGCGTCGTAGGTTCACATGGGTCACGGACAACAACCCATTGACCTACTACAAGACGCAGGATACGGTGAGCAGCACGATCGGGCGATGGATGTACTTCATCGACCAATTTGACTTCACACCTAAACATCTCCCCGGCCTCTCCAATCGCGCAGCAGATGCACTCTCGCGAAGACCCGATCTTTGCGCCATGACACATCATGCCTTCGCATTCGACGAGGAACTTCAGCGACACTTCATCCGGGGCTATGAGTCTGATCCGGACTTCGCCACGTTGTGTGCGCAACTATCTTCGGATCACCCGCCGGCCAGCCACTATCGCATTGCCGACGGGTACTTGCTCCTCCACTCGAGAGGCAAGGACTTATTGTGTGTCCCACGAGACCGTCGTCTTTGGACTCGCCTTCTCGGGGAGTACCATGACTCGCGACTCGCCGGCCATTTCGGAGTCAACCGCACTATTGCACGGCTTCGACAACGATTTCGATGGCCCGACCTCGTTACCGATGTCACTCAGTATTGCGACTCTTGCGAAGTTTGTCGACGAAGCAAGCCCCGCAATCGCAATCCCTACGACGAGTTGCGCCCAATGCCTATCCCACAGGAACCCGGCCTCTCCATTGCCATGGATGTCACCGAACCATTTCCCCGCGATCGCCTCGGGCACGACGACATCCTCACGGTTGTGGACCGTTTGAGTAAGTATGCGCGTTTTCTCCCTTGCAAGTAGTACTCCACGGCTCCCGAGCTGGCACGCCTCTTGCACACCGGTTGGATTTGTGGCCACGGTGTACCGGAAGACATAGTCAGCGTCCGCGACACTCGCTTCATGTCGGCATTTTGGACTGCTCTCATGCAGGAGTCCGACATGAAGATGATACCAAGTTCGGCTCGGCATCCACAGACGGTCGGGAAAACGGAGCGGGCACATCAAACCGCTCAAATGATGCTTCGTACGCTCATCCGTCCGGACCAGAAAGATTGGGTTGACCGCCTCCCCGACATCGAGTTCGCCTACAACACTTCGGTGCACCCGGCGATCGGCGTGACTCCATTTGAGTTGCACCACGGTGGACGGAAAGGCCGTATCTTCGCCGACCTTCTCCTCCCACGACCAGCCGACATCGACGCCGCTTGCTCTCCTGCTTCCGTCCGGAAGTACAGGGAATTGCTGGCTCAAGCCCGCGCAAATATGCAAAATGCTCAAGTCCGCATGCAGCATCAAGCCAACAGCGTCGCGTGCCATGTCCTATCTGCGCAGGTGATCTGGTTTGGGTCTCCGCGGAAGAGTTTGCACTGGAACAGGATGTTTCACGCAAACTGCTTCCCAAGTGGTTTGGACCTTGGTCTGTGACAGGAGCCGCGGGCGATGAGCCCGATGGCCCTTCATTTGTGATCAATATCCCGACGCATCTGATGGTCCATCCAGTCTTTCACGCCTCGAAGCTGGCAACATATACACCAGCTAAGAGCGACGACATCCCGGGCCGACGATCGCAGGACCCTCCATCTATGGATGGGCATCAGGAAGTTGACCGCGTCATCACGGATTGCAAGTACGGCAGCAAGCCTCGCCAGTACAAGGTTACATTCAGAGCATGCGACCCCGACGACACTCGGTGGATTTCAGGAACAGATTTGAAAGCATCCACACCGTTGATCTACGCTCACTACGAGCGACAAAGGTTAGCTCAGGGACCTTCACGACCTGCCCCTCCCACCCGGACTGTGGTCCCTCCCTCAGACAGACAGCTTCGCCCTCGCAGGTAAGCTCGGTCTTTCAAGGAGGGGGGGGTGTGGGACACTGCGTAGCCACACGGGCCTGCAGGGCCCGTCCCGCATTCTCAGCCTAAAAGCCTAGAAATAAGGGCTTACAGGCCCCTGTCGTTTCAGCCTGAAAGACTGAAAAACGAGGGCCTGTAGGCCCTATGTCGTTTCAGCCTAAAACAGGGCTTTTCAGCCCTGAGGCTTTTCAGCCTGAAACGGAGGGCCACTTTCGGGCCCTCATAAGATCGACCTGTCCTAACACTCAGGCACAAAACCAGGGTTTCGGGAACAGGCTATCTTTAGCCTGTTTCCCACGACAGCCTCAAGCAGGAGCTACAGCGGCAGCCCTTGACTCCCTGCGGCATCGGCAAGAGCAGCCTCCTGGACTGCCTCACCCTGCTGTCAGGAGGCAGGCCGAGTAGTACATAGGAAGTTCCCATGCACTTCACGGTAGGTAGTTAGACAGTAGGCAAGAGTAGTCTTCAGGATTCGGCCGCAGCACTCAGGAGGAGCGCTGCAGGGAGTAGCTTAGCGCTAGCAGTAGTCTTCAGCGCTGGGCGCTAGTAGCCGTAGCAGTAGTGTTCAGCGCTGGGCGCTAGTAGGTGGTAGTAGTAGAGTTGGGAGAGATGACTGGCGGAGGCCAGTGGGACTTACCTGTGGCGCCATAGCTCCAGCTCCATCTTCGAGGTACCTGCATCAAGGCGCCAACTTCCAGGTTAGTATCGGACTGAGAGAGAGAGAGAGAGAGAGTTCTTCTTCTTCCTCTTCTAAGTCCACCATCTCTTCTTCCCCTCTCGCCACCTCACTTCTCAGTATCAGCGGACTACGACAGAGAGAGAGAGTTGTGACTTGAGACTTGACGACATTGGATCCAGACTCGACATTGGGATTCAGACATTTTGACGAGGGACTATTTGGGCCTGTGCCGAAGACTTGGTGTTGACGACATTCCCATCTTCCCCTCTTCTTCGTCTAACCCCCCTCTTCTTCGTCTGTGTATGGTTGGCGCATTCTTCTTATGTGAGCGCCAGACCCCTTCACACCATGGAATGATGATGATGATGTATGTTCGGGGCTGCATTGCAATATTGATTGTTCGGATCATTGGTATCTAAGTTTTCCGCTACGCTATCTTGTACTTTGTATTGAGAGGTCGGTTCTTGTTCTGGTCTGCACCGTTACAGTATGCAACAGAGAGAGAGAGAGAGAGAGA